ATGTCAGATCTCCACAGATTTCCTTATTAACTCACACAATGTGTTCTTCCATCTCTTTACAAATGTTTCCCTCTTCTCATTTCATTGATTACCACATATCAGTTTTTTTTTTCCCTAAGTGTGTGCAGCTAGGGCAGACAAATTACCATCTGGCTATTGTCCTTGCCTCTCCACATTTCCCATACAAAAGCAAGCTAAAAAGCCATGGAGGTTTTCTTCTCCATACACTAGGTATCCTGCCTCCATGAGCACAGATAATGTTGTTGTAAATCTAGAGGCATGTGGTCGCTCTCATCAGAATAGGGAAGAGAATCACATCTAGAATTTACACACACCTCCATTCAAAGAGGCTGACCCTCCCCCGAGGTGGGAACCATTCACCGTGGCCTTGGAGTCCTTCATGTAGAATAAAGATGTTACTATAATGGCGGTTTACCAAATGAGAGTAAATGTAGTGGCCTTGCATCAAGGAGATTTCTATAGCAAAGAAGATTATAATAAAGACAGCAAGTGCATTGTGACCCCCATCTTGCTGCATTTCCATAACAACATTGCTTTGTGGCTGTAGTGGGGCAAGGGATCAGGCAAGAGATCTGCAGTTGTTTTATTTATGTGCAGAGTTTTCAGTGTCAAGGAAAAAGGAAGGATTTTTTTTCAGGTATATTTTCTTAGGTTGTTGATGAAAAATAAACTCACAAAACTGATCATCCTTTAAAAATATTTTTTTAGCAGTTGACTCTCAAACTCTTTTGCCAATTTTAAAAAGATTAAAGACTAGTATCACCAAAATAAAACATACTTCACTGAAATTGAACCGTTTGGAAGACTTTTTTCTTGTCTGAGAAATGTCCTGCCCTCTCCTCTGAGTTCTGCCTTTTGTCTCTTTCCTTTGGAAATTTTAATTAGTGAACACCAAGGATACTTAGATATCAGTAGCCTATTTAGTACAGAGGAGGACCCCCACACATACACACTACACACACACATGTACAAACACACACACACACACACACCCTATTACTGCTGCCAATTACAGAAGAAAAAATAGAGTAAAACAGGTACAGAAATAATCAGACCCAAAGGCTAGAAGTGAGCAGGATTTTCATCCTGTAGATAGATGATATAGTCCAAAGATTTTTCCCTAACAGTTTGAGATTATAGGTAGGCAAGAAGGCTACAACCTAAGATTGATTAATGGGCAACTCCACATTTTCCTGAGATAACATTTTGGCCTCCTTGATACTCTGAAGTTGTTTCCCTGGAATATGTTTACCTTACTCGTGGCTGAAGATGATCTAAAATTACAAAGGAAATTTTTTTAAAGAGGAAAAAACTGCTCCAGCAACAATTACCCAAACCAGAACTTTATCCCACTGAGTTTTATAGATTCTAGTTGCAGGTGGTGAGCTCACAGATGGCAGAAAGTGAAGTCACCAGCTGAGGGAAAGAGCCTGCACAGTGCCAGAGAACCACACGGTTATATTAAATGAAACACACCAAAATAAAAACAGAGAGCCACCCCAAGCCAGGTGTCCCAGCTTCTGAGAACTGATGTACAGTTACACAACAGCCCAGTTGTTGACTCCTTGTGGGCAAAAACCCAAGGAGGAAGCAAAATTTCAATGGGCCCCAACAATGTGATCAGTTTCTCAATGTTCATAACATTCACTTCTGTATGTAATTTACCTCCAGAACTAATTTACTTAACGTACTTTCTCTAGAGGTTTGATGAAGGTCATGCAGAGGAACACAGAACACAAAACTTGCTTTTCTCACAGTGCTAAGGATTGAGCCCAGGGCCTCAGGTACACTAGGCAAGCACTGCACCATAATCTACATTCTCAGCCCCTTTTCATTTATTATTTTGAGACAAGTTTTTGCTAAATTGCCCAATTATCCTCAAATTTATGATCCTCTTGCATCAGCCTCTCAAGTAACAAGGATTCTAGGTGTGCACAACTGTACTTGGCATAAAAACATTTTTAAACCAGATGTGGTGGCACATATATGTAATATCAGCACTCAGGAGGCTGAGCCAGGAGGATCATCATGAGTTTAAGGCCAGCCTTGGCTACATGGTGAGTTCAAAGGAGCCTGAATGACATAGTGAGACTTTGTCTCAAAAATTTTTTTTGAAAGAAGAAATCAAAAAGAAAATTAAGTATTTTCTTTTTATTTCCAGTTCTTTTTTCTTTTTCCCAAGGATATCATTGCTGGATGACTTTGTATACAGTTAGACCAATTGTTAGTAATAATAGACTAGTAATTTATGTAAGAAATAAGTTGTAAAATTAACCAATATTATGCTTTCAAATATTTTATTTAGAAATATTTATTTTTTGGACATTTGTTTGGTGTCCTATTTTTCAGTATATGTGCTGCCGAAGCGAGCACTTTTTTTTTTTTTT